CATGACTGTCCACAGCAAAGCCGCCGACCTGGCGAGAAGGGAGCGGGAGCGGCTGGGGCGGGAGCTGAGCTGCAGGCGGCAGTAGGGATTCCTGAGAAGCCGGAGGAGAGTGTCCTCAGCTCTCGTAGTAAACACAGCTGCACCTGCTAATTCCACCCACCCAGTCACTCGGGCCGCACGGGTGGCTCACAGGTGCCGTCTGTGCTGGAGACCGAGGCCTGCGGAGGCCTCACACTGCTGGCCGCCCCGCAGAGGAGCCCCGAGGGCTGGCGATGAGCGGACGCGTCCCTAAAGCCATCATTAGCCCCGACGTTACAAAGGCAGCCGTCCACCTGCGGGACACTAACTGGGTGACAAAGCGCCCACTGGAAGCACCACAGGCAGCGAGGAGCTCAAAACCAGCAGGTTAGTGTGACGGGTCCGCATCCCCCACGGTCCTGGCCACCTCCCGACGGGAGAGGCGTGAGGAGGGTCCCCTGGGGAGCCCAGCGTGGCACAGGCCTCCTCCCTCTCAGCGCTGCGGCCCCTCCATCCAGAGGTCACGCCCTCCACACTCCTCCTCTTCCAGGTCCCAGCTAGTGACACGCCAGCACCCCTGGCATTTCCTCCCGGGAGGCCACGCGATGACCAAGGACAGGCCCGGGAAAGCGGGGACCCACAGCCCAGCCTTCGTGTAAACAGGGCGCCAGAGCTGCCCAGAGCTGCCCTCTAAAGCCTGCTTATCTCACTGATGGGCTGGCTCTCCGGGTCGGAGTTGATAACGTGTACTTCGTCCTGTCTGTCAAGTTCCTGATCCCTCGCGATTGGCCCGCACAGTGGCCTGGCCCCCCACAGGCGAGCTTGGTGTGTGCGGACCAGCCAAGTCCCACCTCGTGGACTTGGGCTGAGCCCTCCGTGTCCCGGCTCTGGGAGACCGGGAACCAACTAGATGGGCCAGGGCCTCCTCCAGGGACCCGGTGGCCCCACCACACTGCTGTCCTAGGACTCAGGACCTGCTTGCTAACCCACCAAGAACACAGGAGGGAGCCCCATGTGCTTGTCACAAAGCAGGGCCCATGCTCGGGCACGGACAGATGTGTGGTCTCGTCCTTCCCTGAAGAATTCAACACGCATCACTGTCTCCTCACACGGGCCGGTGGCCCTGAGGCGCACGGGAGCCACGAGAGGGTGGGTCTGAGGGCTCAGGAAGGGATGGGGCTCCCACAGCTCCGACCCCACCCTCCCGTCAGTCAGCACCTGCTCGCCCGCCTGCCTCGTCGGTGGAGCATCACACACGTGTCTCAGCCTGGGATGTGGAGGAACACACCCTCCCACCTCGAGGGAAACTGACAAAGCAGTGCATGCACAGAGGGTGCTTCCAGAAGCCGCCACGCCCCCCACAGGCCGGCCCCGCCCACCACCTCCAGGGCCACTCACCTGTGTCCGCCCTGTCCCTTTAGGTCAGACATCTTACACGCTCTCAGGCGAGGCCAGGAATTCCAGGAGAAAGAAGTGCACAATCTACTTCACAAAGCACTAGACTCAGTTCTGGATGAAACCTTTATGAGTTCCGTCAGCTGCAGGGCTCGGATTTCTCTGCCACGGTATCCTAGCAGAATTGTAGGTGATTAAATGATGGTGCGCACTGACGCGTAATGAGGGTGCAGTGAATCAATGAAAAGAAACAAAACGAAATGCAACACAGGCTTCATCTTTTATTTTTAAAAATATGTTTATATTGATTTTTTCTAGAGAAACATTGATCGGCCGCCTCCTGCACGCCCCCTACTGGGGATGGAGCCCACACCCGGGCATGTGCCCTGATCGGGAACAGAACCAGCAACTGCATGGGATGACGCCCAACCACTGGGCAACCCGGCCAGGACAGTTTAATCTCTCAACGTGGTTATGAGATGCAGCAGCACGGGTCTGTAGTCCGAGCTGGTTTGGAATGTAAGCAGGGCGCACTCACCCTCGGCTCAGACGCTCACGCCCACCCACACACACGACACGCCCACCACGAAGGAAATGCAGTGAAATGACAGCTGGGTGAAGAACCAGCAGAGGGGAAAGGATCAAAACAGGCCCCTTCAATTCTGAGCTTTAAAAAGATTAACTTTTTCCAGCCCTAACCGGTTTGGCTCAGTGAATAGAGCGTTGGCCTGCGGACTCAAGGGTCCCAGGTTTGATTCTTGGTTGTGGGCACATCCCCAGTAGGGAGTGTGCAGGAGGCAGCTGATCGATATTTCGCTCTCATCGATGTTTCTAACTCTATCCTTCTCCCTTCCTCTCTGTAAAAAATCAATAAAATATATTTTTAAAAAAATAAAAAGATTAACTTCTTCCAAATTAAAGGCTTTCCTGGTCAGATACCAGGGAAGGAAGGATCGGAAGGGCTGGCCACGCCTCAAATTCCACTTTCTCTTTGTGCTTTGCAAAATCCACAGGATGAAAAGGGACAACACGGGCCAAGAACCACCACCTGGGTACGAGCTAAAGCTACCTCCCTGAGCTCCGTCTGCGTGGCGACCGGCTGCCGTCACATCTTAGTAAGACGCTCACGAGGAGGCTCCCTATCAAACCTCCTCCAGACCACACCGTCCCGAGGGCCCAGGTCCTCACAGCCGCGTGCAGCGCCCACTGCGCCTGCACCCTCGCCCGCCCCCTGCACCTGAGGGCTAAGCACACTGTAGAGACGCATTTGGACCTTGAGCTGTGCTGGCATCACACCCACGTTTTACACAGGACCCGCCATTCCCCACGTGCAAAGGCAGGGTCTCACGTCAGGGCTCCCGTCCGCCGCCATCCCCGCCGGGGGACACGGGAGCACGCTTCCCATCACCGACGTCCCATGTGTCTTGCTGTGACCTGAGCACGTCTAGTCTTTTCTGTCTGTGCCCACTGCCGGCCGCGGGGAAGGCCAGGTCCTCTCTCTCCCTGCTCCTCAGACGAACCTGTGAGCAGGCGGAGCGTGGAGACCCGAAGCTCCTGGGCCCTCTGGACGGCGCAGGTGAGCCGAGGAGGAGGGAGTGAGGTGCTGTCCGGGCCGATCTGCTCTGGAATGAGGTGCAGATCCCACACCCGCCGGCCACAGCAGGCAGTGCCGTGTGCAGCTTGGCAAGTCTCCCCCACCCCCACCAGAGCTGTCGCTGGTCTTAGAACCAGGTGCAGGAGAGGCGGGACCAAGGGCCGCACACACCTTGGCTGGGAATACTTGTCAGCATCTCACTTTCCCACGGTCTGCACGCAAGAACCTGCCTGAATAAAGACAACTGGTTCCGACCCCTAAGACCAGCTTCTGCTCCCGTGATCACTGGTGCATTCCCCTCACAGGGACCCCGTGAGGTGGGCCACGCCTATCGTCCCGTCCAGGAGCCGAGGCGCCAGGTGACTGCGCTGGCCATGCCGCCAGCACACGCAGTCGCACCGGGAGTGACGCAGGGGCAGCTGGTCTTGGTCCCTTGCTGAGAGGTGCGGTTTGCTCCCAGCCCACAGGTTCCTCTGAGGAAGTTTCTGGGGTGGTTCCCTCCCTCCCGCCAGGTCATCTGTTTTGCGATCTGGACAACAAGACGTAATGAAATGATAAAACTTGTGTGGTCTGGAGCTCAGAGTCGGCACCGGCTGCGGGTCCTCAGGCAGCTGCCACGCCTCACGGCCTCGGGCCTGCGGGGTGCGAGCACCGGGGACGAGCTCGTGGCCATGAGCTGGGAAAGGAAAAGCAGCGAAGCCCACCGCCAGGTGCGTCGGCTGACCATACAGAGCCTCAGTTCTCCCTCCCCGGCCCCGGGCACAGCACACGGTGGGCCCCACACGCGCCCGGGGCCAGCCTGCGGGGCCCAGCGGGGAGGCAGGGTGAGCCTCGTTTCCTAACTGCCCATTGGAAGTTGAGGAAACGGGAGGCAGAAACGGAGGAGCAGTCCCACGTCTCCTGACTTCCAATCCCAAAGGGAGACGGGGACCCAGGGGCCTCTGACCACGAGAACCAGCGCCTGCACACCGTCTCCCCATCGCCCTCGCCCGGGGCAAACGTGCCTCCAGGTCGGGGAGCGTGAGCCACGTCCCACGCCGACACCAAAGACCCTGCCCGGGACGCGGCAGCTGGTCCGGCCTGCTCCCATGGAGCCGGGTCCTCTGGAGGAAAGGCGAGCGCAGGCCACCATGAGTCACCTCTGCCCACGGGGCGCGGTGTGTTGCTGCCGTCACCGTGTCCAGAGTCTCAGCTCACTGGAGGCTCCTCTCAATTCCAGGCCTCGACCTTAGGGCCGCCCTGCACACGCGGCCCACAGCCCGCGGCCCACAGCCCACGGCCCACCCTGAAGCCGGGCACTAAGTCAGCAGCCGGTTCAACCACGTCCCCTCTTCCCTCTTACGACCAAGATACGAACACGACCTGAAACGCACGCTGACCCCTCGGGCCAGAACCTGGCGCAGGGAAAGCGAGGTGCAGCCGGGGCGTCTGCTTTTCCACCTGTGCCTTCAGCTGCCACGTCCCAAGAACCCAGGGTGTTTCCACGCCACCAACGCCACTCAATTCCCTAGAACCTCGCCCCTCGCGTCTTGGTCTGGAACAGAGTCCGAGGTCCCTGAGGTTCAATTCTGTAAAACAGAAGGGGAGCTCGGCGGAGCCTGGACCTCTGCCCACCTCAGGCTGCACAACTCCGAAAGCTTGAAATAAAAGGCACACATGCCCGCGCAGGAGGTGCTCGCAGCCAACTCCTCGGTGCCCCTCCGTCTCCACTCCCGACACAGGCGAGGGGCCCCGGAGGGACGGAGGGACAACTCGGACTGTGACACTAGGCCTGTGCTACACGGACGCAGGAATCCTGACAATGAGAGAGAGAACAACACACACAGGCGTCAGCAGGCGGTTGCCGCGCAGACCGGACGGACCGCTTAGTGACGGGGAGACGCGCCCCCTCCCTGGGGGAGGAAAGGGCGTGAGCACAGAAAGGACCTCTGCCTACACCACAGGGGAAACAAGAGGGGAAACAGAACCCCGCATGGAAGAAATCCCAGGAGAGTCCAATTTGGAAAAAATTTAATTAACAAAATAAAGAGGAGGACATGGTCCAGGAGGGGCTTGGGAGGACCCTCCACCCGCCCGGGCCCGGGCCCGGTCGAGCAGAACCAGCTGGACTAGCAGGCCTGCTCCGCACTGCGCGCCCCGTGCGCACAGCCGAGAAACCACACGGCCGCTGGTAGCCAGTGGCTCCTGGCTGCCCTGTGCTGGCTTGGCACATGAATGCATGCAAACAAAGCAAGGTTTCAAGGGCTTTACCAGTTAATTTTGGCAAAAAGAGAAAACAAACAAAAAGCTAGAATTCATAGCAGATTAAAAGCCACTGAAGTGAAAACCATGTATTTCTCAGTCGGGAAAGAGACTACAACTACAACCTTTTCCTCTTTTTAAGTCTCTGCCATCCTCTCCCCCAACTCAGGTCAAAGTTCGTAGCAGCATAACACAAAGTCCTCTGTCAGCCAGTGTTCTCTGCTGTGGGGTCAGAGTTCACAGCTCAAGTTCAGTCCGTCCGCAGAATCATGGGAGGGTGCTCACTGTCCTCCTCCAGCCGCAGGGCGCTGGCTTCCTCCTCCAGGCACGCGCCGCCCACGGCGCCCAGCTCGTCCGCGTAGGCTGCAAAGAGAGCGCGGTCACCAGAGCGGGACAGGGCCCTCGGGCGGCCGCACAGACTGCCTTTTACTCCCCCTTGTGACTAAAGAGCTCTCTCAGCCACAGGCGGCCCAGGAGGCGGCATTCATTCCTGCAGAGCACGGCTTCCCAGGGGACAGGCTGTGCTTTCCTCGGGGGCGGGGCACGGAGTGCGCCTCGAACTAACGTGGGTGCGCAACACGAGCGCCAGACACTCAGCGCTCCTGCGAAGAGGGGCACGAGCAGAACGGCGGGCAGGCTGGTGTTTGGGGGAAGGTAGCTCACAGCAGCTGGACAGCCACGGCCAGACCGCCCCCGTCTGCCGGGACGCTGACTGACAGCTCCTGCCACAGCGTGCCTCCTCCCGGGCCCGGGGCCAAGAGGGCCCTCCGCTTGAGGAAGGTCAGACGGGCACAGGGCAAGGTCCCAGCACAGACGCTGGAGAGGCAGCAAGCTGGGGCACAAGTCGCGTCCACCCCAAGTGGCCTGAGGCAGGATGATTTTCTTCAGAAGAAAATCAATTCTGCCTCCGGGGCCTGGATAGCCAGGTGACACCCGCTGCCCGGCCTGAGGGCGTCACTCCCCTGCCCTACACAAGGGGGTGGCCCCTGGGAAGGAAGCAGAGCTCGGGCACCGGGAGGCCCGGCCTCATTACCTTCCAGTCTGTCACTCAGCCTTACCCAGTCTCGTGGGAGATGCAGGCGCGTGGGTGCCTTTGGCTACAGCGGTGCCGTAGGGCTGAGTTACCAAGGGGCAGTCGTGAGAGGCCGAGTCTAAGATCTCATTGGTTGTCTCCATGCTGCCATCCAACCTGGTGGAAGTGGAGAAGAACACACAGTGAGGGCCTGGGGCTGGCGGGCCAGACGCGAAGCGACAGAGGTGAAGGCCACTCGCCAGGACACGCACGTGCGCTCCAACACTGCGGGGACGGGTGTGTTCACTCGGACTTTACATGGAAAGTCTGACAAAAAGACTTATGCCTACGGGACCAGCTACTTCATGTGCAGACTGGTGGCCATCAACAGGAGTCGCTATCAACAATAGTCCCCCTTGCACCCAATCATCAGCACTGCCGTGCTTCTAGGTGACAAACAGCAGCAAAAGCAAAAGACCATAATGCACTGCTTCCCCAGGAACCAACACCAACTCCTCTTTTCAAAGAGAAAACCCATCTCACGGTGAGACAGCAGGCCCTCAAACTGCGCCCTGGCTGTGCGGACGGGACAAGCTGTGACACCCCTTTCTTGTGAATGTGAAATTCTCTGTAGCCGGTCCCGAGGGGGGGGGGGGGGGAAGCCCCGCCCCCAGGAAGGGCAGGTGCAGTGCTGACCACTTCCTGCCAAGAGCTGCCAAGAGCTGCAGTCCCTGGCAGACGGGGTGGGAGAGCGGACATCTGTGCCACACCAGGGACTGTCTGGGAAGGTGGAGCTCCTGAACGGCCTGGGCCAGTCTCTCCAGGAAACACACACTCGCAGGGCCCACGGCAGCCTGGGCGGGAGAGAGAGCCGAGGAGGGGGTGGGAGAGAGCCGAGGGGGCGGGAGAGAGAGCCGAGGGGGTGGTGGGAGAGAGAGCAGGGGGGGGGGGGGGAGGGGCTTGGGCGAGAGAGGCCGACTTACTTGTGCTGCTTCATGAGGGTGCACTCGCCACCCTCCTGGGGGTCCAGGTTGTACATGTACAAGTACCCGTCGGACGCTCCCACCAGCAGTCGGGGGATCTTCTGAATTCTGGTGGAAGGAAAAGCAGTCACATCCTAGGACCACAGCTTCCGTGGTTACTACACTAGCAGCCTCGCCTTTGGCAAGGCCAGGGGAGCCCTCTGCCCCCGCAAAGTGAGCACAAATGTCGCTGAGTGAGTGACACACTACGTGTTTGCAGGACCAAGACCGCACCCTCTGTGCTACTTGCAGCCCCAGCATCGAAGCCGAGGGCGTCCTCAGCGGGAAAAAGCGCCGGCGCCCCAGGGAGAGCAGGTGGCGGCATCGGTCTCCCGGCTCCCTGACTACGAAGGGCAGGCGGTTTCATGAGACTTCTTCAACTAGGCCAGGCGGGTAGGAAGGATGAACATAACGTCTATAACATCCACAGTCACAGCGAGGCCATGGCGGAGCGCTCCCAGCCACGCCAGCGAGCTTCCCAGAGGGCTCGATGCTGGCGCTCCCAGCCCTGACTTATCGCCACAAGTGCCCAGACACAGAGGCAGCCTCTGCAGGGAGGAGCTGCAGGAGCCCTCGTGTTTGATGACCACGATGCCCTTTGCGGGTCCCCGCGGCACGCAAACCTCGGCTCCATGACAGGCCGAAGTCTGTGACTGTGCTCAGGCTGGAAGGATCGTAAGGGGACCACCAGGCGCCGCAGGCCAAGGGGAGGCGGCTCGCCTGTACTCACGTGGTCAGGGAGCAGATGTTCTTGTGGCCGCAGAAGGGCAGGCGGACTGTGGCGAAGGCCCTGCCCTGGTTGAACATCTCTGTGACCTGGGCGGGCAGGTAGCTGGTGGAGTTCAGGAGCATCTTCCCGAAGTAGCCGGTCCAGGTGGAGGGCTCCTCCTGCGGCCTGGAGGGCGTCAGCAGAAACGTGACTCCCGGAGATGACCACGTCCCACCCACAGAGACAAGGATCAGCCCGAAACCTCAAGAGAAATCCCCCTCCTTCAAGGAAAAGGGGCAGAAACCACAGCCTCTGAACAGCCTGCCCTCCCGCGTGGCTGCGTAGATTACGGAAATGATTTGCAGCAAACAGGAGACGTGCAGGCCCCACTCCCAGCACCCCTGGGTCTAACAGTCTCGGAAACCTCTGAGCACCACTTTCAAGTGGCTCCTTCCCCACAGCCCGTTTTGCCGCTGCTCACCTTGCGCGCACCTGCAGGTTACTCAAGTGCTCCCTGGGGAGGAGCGTGCCCTGAGCAAGCCTGGCCGGGGGGTGGGGTGGGGGGGGGGGGGAGGCTCACATGTTAGGAACAAGCAGCAGCGCTCTGTTCGCCGCACATGCCCATTGCAGTGACACACGACTCACATCACCTGCTTTAGAAACGCACCCACTGCGGGCAGCCTGGCGACGGCGCTCCCGGCACTGGGCAGTGCGCCCAGACGCGCTTCTGTGCTCAGGGGCGTGCCGAGGCAGACGTCTGCAATGACCACGGCAGTCCCCGCGCCCTGCCGCCAGCCTCACGCACAGCACCTCCCGCACTAGACCACCTCACGGGGACAGATCCCTCCCTGCCGCGTGCGGACGCGGGGACACTGATCCAGAGCCCGGCAGGAGGCAGGAGGCAGGAGGCAGGAGGCAGGACGAGCCTGGGCTCCTGGGCTCACCCATCAGTGTGAGCTGGACAAAGTTCTCTGTTGGTTTTCAAACCATCGAATGTTTGCAACTCACTTTTCCTTCACAGTCTCGAGTTTGAAGATGTGCACTGTCTCTGTGTTGCTGGAGGCGGAGAGGAACATGCCATCCATGCTGAAGGCCAGCGAGCAGATGCTCACACACCTGTGGGCGGGGTAGGGTTAGCTGTCACCCAGGCCACTGGCCACCAGCAACCTCCCAAGGGGCCTGTAACCATCGCCGCAGGGGAGGACAGTTCCCTGACAGCCGCGTGGCTGCTGGAGCGCTCTCCTTCCTCCAGTCACCTTCTCAAACATTTTGAGAGAAAGATGTTGGGAACGTGACAGCAAGTGACAGTAATTCTGTCCTATGTTCTTAAACAGCCAATTTTCTTTCATTTAAATTACAGCAATTCTTAACATGCAGAGGGTAAACTGGCCCCTCTGATGATGTTTAACAGAGTAAAACTTTCAACATTCAACACACTAACTCCCTATAGTACATCGTAAACTCACTGTAAAAACCCCAAAGCCAGCAAATAGCCTGCATTTCCTCCCAGCCCCGGGAGCACGCGTGGCCCGTCCACAGAAAGGTCCCTAGTCACTCGGTGCAGACCGAGGAGCGCCCCGCGCCCAGCCCCATGGCACGCGCTGGAGCACAGCGGGGCGGCCCTGCCTGCCTGTCCCAGCAAGGTGTGTGCAGCCCTGCCGCTCCCAGTGAGGGGGCGCTAGGACAGATGTGGGAGTCGCTACAGACATGGTGTGGGGGGCGAGGGTGCTTCTGCCGGAAGCTTGGCCTGAGGGACACCTGATGCAGACTCCAAGGGGCACCAGCATGACAGCCAGGCACCGGGGACAGCACAGGCCAGGTCCCCATGGAGACAAGGGTTGCTCTTCTGAGGAGCTCAACGTGGTCTGGCTGGGACCGGGAGCAACAGGAAGGGAAATAAAACAGCTGGAACGAAGGGCCAGAGGCTGGGTCCAGCTGAGGATGCAGGAGTTTGGGGTTAGTCCTACAGGCAAAGGGAGGCTGTGACGGGGTCCAAATGGGGGTGCTCTGCCTACGTTCTCACACCCAAAGAAGAGCCAGGGCTGAGTCTGAGGAAGGACTGATGGGGCCGACAGCAGAACCACAGGGAGCGTGAGGTCAGAGGGCGGGAGGACGGACAGGACACAGAGGAGGAGACGCCAGTGGGGGCAGCCCCGGGAAAGCCGGCATGCCTGAGCCTAACAGGTGCATGGAATGAGGGGAAGGAGTCCCTTTGGCTGGACACTGGGTGGAGGGACAGTGGCAGCATTTACCGAGAGGGCGTGGGAGCAGGCGGGGGGCGGGAGAAGCACGGGGCCCGCAGGAAAGCAGCCTGGGCCACACGCACATGGGCAGGCAGGCAGGGGCGCGTTTAGGAGGACGTGGCTGTGGCGAGGAGAGCTTTCCTGGCAGTGCTGAGACGCAGGGGAAACGGAGCAGGAGAGCAAAGGCAGGTGCAGAGCGGGGAAGGGAAGCAAGGGAAGGGGAGACACTAGGGGAGCGGGGCTGGACGCCTGGCTGTGGAGAGAGGACGTAAGCTGACTACGCATCTGTGGGAACTGCCCCAGGGAGGGAGGGATGCCAGCACGAGGTTGGGGGCCATGGGGGACAGGGACAAGGGTGGAAAGGACGCGGCGACAGGTTCTGCAGGACTTTCTCAGGACGGGGAGGCGGGCTCTACCAGAGCCTGACTGGGCTGGTGCCAGCCCCAGAGGTCAAGTACTGCTGAGCCAGGTTACCCGGCCACAAGCGGGGCCCCGGGATCTGGCTTTGGAGCCTGGATCCCCATCTCTCCCGCGAGTCCTGAGGCAGAGGACCCAGGGGTGACCGGGACAGCCCCTCCTCCGAGGCAGGGAGGCGTGCTAGGCTCGGCCCTGCAAGCTCTGTAGTGCACGCCAGCGGGAGGGAGCTCCGTGCTGGGAGACGCGGTGTGCTTGTTTCAAAGGCAGAGCCGCAGCCACCAGCTGGCGGGGGAGGGAGGGGAAGGGCCGGCTCCAGTTCTCAGGGCAGAGAGTAAGGACGGAGTCTGTGAACCAGGTCAGAGTCCGCAGCCGCCCGCAGAGCAGGTGGAGGGCACGCACCGCCCGGCTCTGCCGGTCCTTCCGCGCCCCTATCTGGCCATCGCTCTGCGTCCGGCTGGCCTTACATCACGTCCCTTTACCCCCAGACCGTCCGGTCGGCTGAACACGCCTGCCGTTCACCTTGTGCCCAGTGGCCACGTTTCCACCTGCTGGTCACAGAGAACACAAACACTGAACCCAAAGAGAACTGAGTCAATGCTGGAGGCTTATGTGCTTTACCTCTTAACTCCTCTCCGGAACTCAAAGAGTTTCTGTCCCTCTGGAATGGAAAACACCCTAATCACGGTCCCCTGCGAAAAAGAGGGAAAAAAAGGCTTTTAGCCGAGAAAAGATGGACTTTCTTTATTTATTTGTCAGACTATAAATGAAACAGAACAGTTCTCCATGACAGCGCACTGTGGACTCCCTCCTGGCCAGCCCCCCACAGCTGCCCGAGTCCCTCCTGGCCAGCCCCCCACAGCTGCCCGAGTCCCTCCTGGCCAGCCCCCCACAGCTGCCCGAGTCCCTCCTGGCCAGCCCCCCACAGCTGCCCGAGCCCCTCCTGGCCAGCCCCCCACAGCTGCCCGAGCCCCTCCTGGCCAGCCTGCAGCAGGCCCTCTGCACAACCACCTCCTGCTTCCTGCCACAAGCTCCCCAGATCGCTCAGCCCCGTTCACCACTTCACTCAGCACTTACTCTAATCATTAACAGCCTTGAAGTCAAACATGGAACACACCAGTTCTACTTTATCCTACATCACTGGAAGCTTAAACCATTCAAACTAAGCGCCTGAGGCGTGGACCCCGCATTGGGAAGCGACTCCTAAGATGGGTGAGTCTGACACGCTTGGTCAGGCCGTCACCCCCCTGCGGCCCTTCTTGCCACTTGGAGCCACTGACCAAGGGAACTGCCGGCCTAAAAGGATTTGTTACCTGCACATCGGCAAGACCTGCATCAAGGGAACCCCTGCTGAGACGAAAGGAAACAGGCTGGCGGTGAGCCACAGCCCCTCCTCTGGGACATGAGACACTGAGAGGGTGTCCGTTCCCTGCGACCCCTCCCCCTCCTGAAGCAGTCACAGGCTCCGTGGGCAGACAGGACTGAGCACCGGGGACCGAGAGACCTGCCTCGGAAGTGACCCCGAGGGGTGCGGTCACCACCAGGCGGTGAGGAGCTCAGTGAGCCTGCGCCGCAGGAGCCAGACGACAGGCCCAGCGCGGCCCGGCCCTCAGGGAGCAGGTGCAGGGAGTGATGCCCTGTAAGACGGCGAGTCTCTGGTGGGGGAGGACCCCACCAAGGCTGCAGATCTCGGGAAGCAGGGGTGTGGGCACGCATGCAAACACCGGGCAGAGGCTGTGTCTCTGCAACCTAAGCGTTCGGGTTCCTTACAGACGTGCGTTTCTATTTCATGCCACACCGGTGTGCAACCCTGACCGACGACACGCTGCTGGACGGCAGTTCTGAGGCAGGAGTAAGCCCGCACCCAGGGCGGCCCCAGCGGGCCGAGAACGCGTTGGTGGTCTGATCCCTCAACCCAGAAGGTTCTGTGTAAAAGCAAGTCAAGAGCCTCTCTTTCTAGCCCAGAAAAAACTGTTCTGTTTTTACTGGCTCCCGAAGGCCTAGTCAGAACCATAAGAGAGGTGGGTTAGCCAAGGCTCATGGCCATGCTGCGCTCCCGAGGGAGCGGAAAGGGACCGGTGACACGGCGAGCCCTGCAGCGTCTAGACCGCAGGCGGGCGTGGAGTCAAACCCTTGCTTCCGCCAGCGGCCGACCCTGGGAAAGTGCCTGCCCGCGCGGAGCTCTCCACACGAAGGGAAACGTGCCCCTGGAGGAGGGTCAAACGAGGTAACGACACGAAGGGTCTAGGAGACTCAGGACAGTGACCCAGGAACAGCGGCACTGGCATCGTCGCTGCAGAAACGGGGCCCGAGAGTCAAGAATGCAGAGCCCAGGGGAGCGGGAGCGGCTGCCTGGGTGGCACTCGCTGGCTGGTTCAGAGGAGCCAGTGGCTTCGAGGGGAGGGGACTGGAGGGGACACCCAGGCTGAACCCAGGCACAGGCGGCTGAGGGGCAGGTCCCCGTGCTCAGAGGAGGGAGCAGCCAGGAGCACAAACGAGACCCTGAGAGAAGAGAGGGGAGAAGAGGAAGAGAACAGCAAAGGAAACCACGTACGTAGCCCTTGAGTGAGGACGAGAGGACGGGACCCCCCAGTGTCACGGAGGCTGAGAAGGCCACACAGTCGGGCCTGCCGAGGCCTCTTCTCCGAGCGCGGACAGGGCCAGGCCCTTTAACCCGGAGTCTCCTCACCGACTCTCTCAATAACCAGAGCTGCACACGAACGACTCCCAGGCGGGACTTCAATACACTCCTATCTACAGAGTAGCTGTAAGTGAACACGGTGCAGCTCTTAAAGGCGCCGTAACTCAGAGAAGCGCAGTAGGGCGCAGAGAGGGAAAGGAGGCTAAACGAGACACACACTGTGACCACCACTTTAAGAGAAAAAGAGGGCAAGGCGAACACGGAATGCGCTCAGACCCCCTCAGACTGTCTCCACTTTCACTCTCGCCCCCCAAGTCCTCAGCACCACAGCCTGTCCCGGGCCATGTCGGGGTGCAGTGGTGAGGGCGTCCATGCAGGGCGCTCGGTCTCCCGTCCCAAACGTGCCCAGCTCCCCTGCGGGAGAGCCGCTCCCAGCAGCACACCCAGAGCCCGCAGTGGGCCCTGCCGGGTGGGTGTCGCCGGCGCTCCTCTGAGCGCCCGTGTGGTCACGGGGCCGGGGGCCAGGACGGGTTTCCCACGGACCCGGCAGCCTTACCTTCTCGGAAGCAGTGGCGAGCTTGGTTCCACTGGCGTCGAAGGCCAGCGCGGCCAAAGGACTGTCGTGAGCGGGAATCATGTTGGCAGCTCGCTGGTGGGAGAACCAAAGGTGACTACTAAGCCCACCTGGTTTCCGGGGTGGGGGCCCAGGGAAGTGCCCGGAGTGACAGGTTCCTCTAGCCCACCCCGGGGCAGCTGACGGGGACCAGCACAGCTCTGCTGGGGGCCAGCGGCGGGCACTGCATCGCCGAGCCAAGGATGCCAGGACGCCAGGGCCCACAGCACTCGAGGGACCAGCATTTCCAAGAGCCTCAGGGAACCTCACCAGGTTAATGGTGTCGAAGACCTGCACCTCTCCAATGGTGGCGCTGCCGGGGTAGGCCAGGTAGCAGTTGTCATTGTTGATGGACAGCGCGCACAGGCCTGAGGACACAGGGAGCAGGGCAGTCAGGCCTGAGGGCTCCTTTGTGGTCATGAGACATACAGCGCATTCACTTAACCCAGGGCCGAGAGGGAGGGCTCTGAGCAGCCACAGCGCCCTGCTGGGTTAGGGCCACCCCCCCTTCCCCCCTCCCCCACCCGTGACAGCAGGGCTGTCAGCAGATTGAAGGCCTCTGGTGGGAAGTGATTAGTGACCTCAAAATTGGAAGCTGACCAAACCATTGACCGATGCGGTCACAAGACCAGTGCCAGGAGGAAGGGAGCCTGGCTTAAGGTCGATCCACTTCAATCTGCCTCCAGCTGTGGGCTCTGCAGAGGAGAGAGCTCCCCCCCCCGTCCCCCCCCATCTTTAACAGGACACCCCGAGCAGCCCCGCCCTCCTCGGGGCGCTCACCCGCCGGGTTCGGGGGCGTCTCCCGGATGGTGTGCAGCACCTTCATGTCCCGAATGTTGTGGATGTACAGAGACTCCTCCAGGCACACGATGAGCCTCTAGAGGAGAGACAGGGAGGCGAGCGTGGAGAGAGCCGCCACGCTGCACGCATGCGCCCAGCCGCTCAGGGGGCTCTTGGATCAAGACGCTTGGCGTTCCTCCCCTAGCACCCCTCGGCCTGCACACTCCAGAGGGCGCTGCATTACCGTAGGGCGTGCAGAGCCCGTGCCTGCCTCGTCTCTACTGCCGCTGCACTAGGACGCCTCACTATGCACTGACTCCATGTCACAGAAACTGGGCGATACGGTAAGAAAAGTGATTTGTATTATGGTTTGTTGTGTTTGTCTCTCATCCCTCACCCCTCTGCCCCTCGTGAAAACCAAATCGAGCGCCTTGGATGGGTTTGGTAATTAAACACCTGCTGTTGAACGAGGCGCGGCAAGATGAAGGTGAAAGCCGAAGGATTTCCTGAAAGTATGAAACTCCCCCTGCACCCAGGCTGTTCTGCAGGTGTCCATGTTCTTGCTGCGCTTCAAGATGGAAGTCCCTGGAGGGTGCATCAGGGAAGACAACTTGGCCCGCACGCACTCAGCACCTGCTGCCATGGGACACCACGTGTGTTTTAAGCTTTAAAAAGGCGGTAGGGGAGGCCGGGGGAAGGTCAACGGGGAAAAAAAGGAGACATATGTACTACTATTTGTAATAAACAATAAAATTAAATAAAAAATAAAAAGGTTCAACATGTGATGCCTTATCCTCTCCTATTTTAACCAACTTTTTCAGCCAACAGACCAATCCCTAGTTTCAGCCAGGTCAGTGGTCACATGGCAGTAGCCGCCAGCAGCGCCCCGCACGGTCCACGCGCCCTCAGCCCAGGGCACTCCGCTGTGAACGGGGCCGGTGCTGCATTTGTGAGCACAGGCCACGGGAGCCCGGGAAAGGGACTCAAGTGCCAGCCACCAGGCCCACACGCTGGGCCAGACTCTCTTGTTTTGGGGAAGATATAAAAAGCAATAAATTATATCACTTTTTGGGGTTAATCTTTACCTGAGGATGTTTTTCCCATTGCTTTTTCAGAGAGTGGGAAGGAGGGAGTGAGGGGGAGAGAGAAAGAGAAACATCGATGTGAGAGAGACATCTCAGTGGGTTGGCTGCAACCCAGGTATGTGCCCTTGACCTGGAATCACACCCACCTCCCTCTGGTGCATGGGCCAACGCTCTAACCACTGAACAGCTGGCCAAGGCAGTAGCGTACATCATCTTAAATCAAAGGTTAAATTAACAGTTTAAAAAAGGAGAAAGAAGATGCCAACAGGTTTTTTGAAGTAACACGTGTGAAAGTAAAAGAAGCTAAATAAACTATGACTCAACTCCAAGGATGGCTGCATGGACATCTGGTCAGTCCTCACGTAACCCTGCCCACAGCCCCTGGCGCCTGCACGACGTGGGAGAAAGCCAGTGCCCAGGATGACCGACAGGGACAGCGCTGAGCTCCCACAGACCCTCATCGAGGCGCAAGGAGAGGACGCCACGTGGGGCCTCTGCACAGACACGGTGCCCGGAAGGATGAGCAGACCGGCGGCAGAGAGCGAGGGCCTTCATCAGGGAGGGACCCGAGAACACAGCGCCGTGTGGAGGCGGGTGGGGGGGGTGAGCGGGGCTCGGGCCAGAAACGCTGGCTCAGGACCGTGTTTGTCCTGGAGGCGCCGGAGGCCTCCGGGGGCAGCGGCGGCCGCAGCCCCACTGCACAGAGACACGGGCAGAGCGAGGTCTGACGCCCAGAGGCTGGTGCTCACCTGCCTGTTCAGCTTCACGGCCAGGATGGTGTTGGAGTAGCTGTAGTTGCAGATCTCCGTTCCCTTCTTAAAGTGGCAAACTTTCAGCTTCCGAGGAGCTTTGAGGCTGACGATGGCCACCAAGCTGCTCGAGAACAATCTTTCCACGATGCACACGTCTTCAGTGTCAGCTGTAAGCAGGAAACATACACGTACCCACATCAGCAGGCGCAGGCTGCTCGCACACACCAACACGTGTCCACGTGCACATTACGTCAGCAGAGCACTTGGGGGCTACACGGTGGGCGCCTGGTGACAGGCCGGCTGTGGGGACAATCCCAGAGCAGCACCGGAGTCGAAATCACCGCTTAGGAGCCACATACACACCACTCTCAGGGTCCCCCTGCCAGGAAGGCCCTGCATGAGCCTCCCCCATCAAAGGGAGTCCCAGCTCCTCTCCACATCACCCTGGTCCCTTCCTCCCTGGCGGTCACTGTCATCACGTGCATCTGCCCACCGGCTGCTCCCTGCACACGGTCTGGACTGTACGCCCCACACGGACAGAGGTTGCACCTCCTGCTCACAGCTGTCCCCCGGCCTCTGTAACGGCACCGACAGACGCCAGGCCCCCACCGAGGCTCTGAACAACTCACTCTGAGTCCTGCTTTCCGATGTGAAAAGGGAATGACCGCCACTCTCAGAACTGCAGGAGGTGGTGGCAGATGCCGGCCCAAGTCAAGCTCCAGCCCCACCCACCTGCTCCCGCAAGAGAGGGGACACCCCGCTCAGAAGACCGGATGAAACAGGTGCAGACAGCATCCTGCCTGGAAGTGGCAGGCACAGTGAACCCGCCACAGACACCCCTTCACCCAGCCCCCTGACTGCCCTCACCCCAATCGCTCCTTCCCGCTGTGGGAAGTTCAGATCTAGATGCAAAGAGAATTCTCGAATGTAAGAAAATGGCAGAGTGAGTCTCAACTGCCTCCACCTGCAGCCTGTCTCCTGAGCCAGGGGAGGGCTGCAGTGCCAGGTGTTTTGAGCATGTGCCCATCCATTCATTCAACAATTCTCCTCAAATTAACCTTCTGATCAATGCAATCCCGAGCACAACCCCAGCAGACATTTTTGTTGACAATAACTGATTTCAAAACCAGAAAGGCAAAGCACCTAGAACAGCGGTTCTCCACCTGTGGGTCGCCAACCTGTGGGTCGCGACCCCTTTGGGGGTCGAACGACCCTTTCACAGGGGTCGCCTAAGACCATCGGAAAACATATATAATTACATATTGTTTTTGTGACTAATCACTATGCTTTAATTATGTTCAATTTGTAACAATGAAAATACATCCTGCATATGAGATATTTACATTACAATTCATAACAGTAGCAACATTACAGTTATGAAGTAGCAACGAAAATAATTTTATGGCTGGGGGTCACCACCACATGAGGAACTGTATTACAGGGTCGCGGCGTTAGGAAGGCTGAGAACCACTGTTCTAGAATATCCAAGGCTATCTTGAAAAAGAACTAGATTGAAGGACTTACGCCCTCTGACTTCAACACTCAGTATATAAAGAAAGCTACTGCCAACAGACAGCACGTTATGACACAGAGACTGACAAATAATCAATGGAGAAGAGCAAACAGCAGAACTAGACCCGTCCTTAGAGGATTCTTTTAAGCACCAAAGCAATCCATGAAGGAAGACAAATCTGTTCAACAAATGGCTGAACAGGAAAAATTAGCCTTTACTCCTACCTCACACCACACAGCAAAATTAAACTGCGGTGATCACGAAACTGATAGAAACGCTGAAGCTACCAAGTCCAATGTTCAAGCAAGGAGCCATGATGACCAGGCAGCACAGCTACTTTTAACTGCAAAAAATCAGAAACCAAGAGCTCTCACAGAGAAAAAGATCTCAACGTACTGGTACGCAAAGGTTTCTCAGGAAGGACACAGCAAGCAAAAATCATAAATGAAAAAAAATCAGACTTCATCAAAAGTCAACATGTGTGCTCAACAGATAAGACAAGCCACAGAACAGGGAAAAAATTTTCACAAGACATTATCTGACAAAGGGTTGGTACCCAGAACATCTAAAGAACTCTGGCAACTAAATAATAAAAGACAAACAACCAAATTTAAAAAGGAACAAAAGATCTGAACAGACATTTCACAAAAGCTATACAAATGGCTAACAAGGACACGAAGGTGCCCGACACCATCAGGGAAATTAAAATCAAAACCACATGAGACTCGTCATTCATACATCAGAAAGGCCAACGTGGGAAAGACTGACGCCACCTGCTGGCGAGGGCACAGAGCAACCAGACTCGCACACAGCACCACAGGGATGAGAAACAGGACACACGCTTAGGAAACTCCGGTTGTTTCTTATAAAAGGAATCCCATATTCTTCTCCTAGGTATGCACCTAAGATAAATAAAACACATGTCCACAAAGGGAGCTGCACAAGAATGCTCCCGGCAGCTTTATTCTTAACAGCCAAGAACTGGAAAAGCCCAGGGGCCCATGAGTCAGACTCAACAAACGGTCATACGAGGCGGACCCTTGAAAAGGCAGGCGTAACCCCTCGGAGTAGGAAATCCAAGTGTTTACTTTTGAATCCAAAAACGTAACTACCTTCGGTGCCACAGGGGAGTGGTTCCAGGACCGTGGGCACCAACACCCACGCGCTCAGCCCCGATGTAAGATGGTGGAGAGCAATCATGCAGTCGGCCCGCCGCACCCGCAGATGGGAAACAGCAGGTGTCATCCAACACGACCTGCGTGGGCCTGCGCGGTGCATACCGTGTTGTTCAAGGGCCCAGGGGAACACGCAACGATACGGGTAACTCTCAAAAGCATTCGGCTGAAAGACCCATCCAAGAGCACCTGCTGCGTTGCTCGGACCTTCCAGAACAGGCAGGCGTAGCCTGCGCTAGAGAAAACCCGGAGCCTGGCCTCAGGGGTGGCGGGAGTGGGGCTGGAGTGACAGTGAACCCCGATGGGGCTCAGGGGACAGCTGCATCTGTCCAAACGCAGCACGCTCACTCCAGGTCTGCACGCTCCTGTGTGTAAATACCACCCCCAAAGAAAAGGACGCAGCACTGACCCCAGTCAGCAGTGCTCATGCTGAAGTGCTCAGGGAGCATCTACTGAGACGCAGATCTGATGGCCAGGGTGTTTTCACCTTTCCCAGCCAATGGTAAGTTTGAAATTTTAATGAAAAAAAAAAAAAAAAAAAAGCAGGTGAGAACTCTTAGAATTTTAAAAACAGAGGGTGCTTGTATGGAGACAGCAAAGCTATCTTTTTTCTATATTTTTATTGATTTGAGGGAAGGAGGAAGAGAGGGGAGGGAGGGAGGGAGGGAGGGAGGAAGAAGCATCAATGATGAGAGAATCACTGATCAGCTGCCTCCTGCTTGCCCCACACTGGGGATCAAGCCTGCAACCTGGGCATGTGCCCTGACTGGGAACTGAACTGTGACCTCCTGGTTCATAGGTCAATGTTCAACCACTGAGCCACGCCGGCCAGGCAGCAAAGCTACTTTTAACTGCAAATAGTCGTTAAAGAGAACAGTATACTGAACCCCTCCATAGGCCCATCACCTGATTTAATAAACATGCACTTTCTGCCTATTTTTTCTTTTCTGAAGTTTCAAAGGTCATCATCCTGACCTTTCACCCGGAAGTAAGTCTGGTAAGCCCCTCTAGATAAATAAGGATGTAGGAAAATATGTTCTTGTCTGTGACTAAAAAGGGAAGACATCTTACATCGCAGCGACTTCCAGGTGGAGGAAGAACTGCATGGAGAAGACGACGCAGGCGCCCATCTCGCGTCGCCGGGAGCAGGACAAGCCTCTCACAGAGAAGCCTTACCAGAAGACAAATGCATTCAAACACAGAAACTCCAGACCTCAGAACGGCAACAAGACCATCAACAAGGTCAAAAGCAAACACCAATCCAGAAGAAATACCGGCAACCCACGACAAATGGTGAAGTTGTTTTAAGTCAGTAAGAGACTAATAATCCCAGAGAAAAGCAGGCAGAGGAAGGAAACAAGCAGTTAAAGGCAAGGAGCAGCCCGGCGGATGTGGCTCAGGGGCTGAGTGTCTGCCCATGAACCAGGAGGTCACAGTTCGATTCACAGGTAAGGCACATGCTCGATTTCGGGTTCAATCCCAGGAGAGGATGTGCAGGAGGCAGCCCATCGATGTTTCTCTCATTGACATTTCTCTCTCTCTATCCCTCTCCCTAAAATCAATAAAAACATTTTTAAAAAGGCAACAAGCATATTTCTTATCTTAGACTCATCTCCAAGTATGAAAATGTTGGATAATGCCTGTGTGGCAGGAAGTGAGGAGAAAGGTGCTTGCACCGGTAATAAAAACATGGCCCTGCCCCTTTTTAAGGACAACTTTGCAGTATCTACAAACTATCAAATGTTTATCTGTTGATTCTTCTTCTTCTTTTTTTTTTTTTTAAATATATTTTATTGATTTTCTACAGAGAGGAAGGGAGAGAGATAGTTAGAAACATCGATGAGAGAGAAACATCGATCAGCTGCCTCCTGCACACTCCCCACTGGGGAGGTGCCCACAACCCAGGTACATGCCCTTGACCGGAATCGAACCTGGGACCTTTCAGTCCGCAGGCTGACGCTCTATCCACTGAGCCAAACCGGTTTCGGCCTGTTGATTCTTCTAACAGCTGTTCTCACAAGTGGGCAAAACAAAGATGCTCGCCCAGCAATGTCACGCCCCCGGCATCTGTCTGCTTAGGAGACAGGAAGCCCTGGCTGCTGTGGCTGTTGGCTGAGCGTCGCCCCGTGTACCAGGTCACCAGCTCAATGCCCGGTCAGGGCAATGCCCAGGTTGCAGCAGACAATCAATATTTCTTTCTCCCCTCTCCCTTCCTCTCTTTAAAATCAACAAAAACATTATATATTTTTAAATAGAAATGAAAACACACATCCACCCAACAACTTGAACACAAACGTTCACAGCAGCATCCTTTAAAAGTCACAACCCAAATGGCCATCAACAAAACATGGTCTCTAGCCACACAGTGTAATGGTACCGAGCAATGAAAAGACATCAGTACTGACACATGCTCCAACATGGGTGAACCCTGCAAACTTCCTATGCGAAAGGAGCCAGTCCGGTAGGACTCCCTTTATCT